GGCACCCATTCACTGCAGAGGATCAATTGGTGAGTAAGTGATGTAATGCTACATTTCTCCAAATATGGTCCAATGAAGAAACAACAAAAAATTTCATTTTTGTGTGAACTATTCCTTTAACTGACACGTTCAAGATGTTTGAGGCAAAATTAGAATTTTTTTAGGCTAAATATGTTCTGAACAGATTTGCAAAAACCAAAAGTGTCACAATTATCCCTGCACTCCTGTAGCATAAAGTATTATGGTTTTCCCATATGTGAAACACACCGACACTATGCACACAGGCTTAATATGCATGTACTTCAGAATCATGTTTATCCTTGAGATGAGGGCGTAGGGGGTGCAGGCTGAATCTTTTCCTTCCCAGTGGTTCCTAAAAGTGTGGTGCACATGAAAGAGCTTAGCTTGATGTTATATAAACAACAAGGGCCAAGGGTGGTCTGCGCACACCTGGAGGGGCCTGGACCTTTGAGGAGAGAGTACAGCAATCATGTTCTAACATTAATAAGCTCAGAGTGAAAAATATGAAGGCGGCATCTGAGGAGAGGGTATACAGGCGATCTGGAAGAGGTGCTGGATCAGAGAGAGCCTGATGTGAGGGAGGAATGCTTGACGTCATTTGGAGTGGCCGCCAGCTACTTGATTATTAACAGCTGACAACCACCCTCTGCATGCTCTTTAGGGTCATATACTGAACTAAACAGAATGCAGAGTGCCTAGAATGTGGATATTTAATATTTATTTTCTGTTATTTCTGTTTTAATATCATGGGAATGGACAGAAATAATAAAGCTTTGTCAAAATAAAGAACTCCAGATTTTATATTTATATAAATAAATAAATAACTTAATATGTTTGTGTTTTCAAAAATTATAAAACAGCAATACTGATTTCCTGGCATAGTCTAAATTAAACTAGAACTTTCATTCAGTAGTTTAAGAGCCTTTAAATTCTGTCCTCATTCACTCACCCTCATTTCATTCCAAACCTCATTATTTTCTTTCCTCTGTTCAGCACCAGAATTATTTAGTGGTTGCTTGTATGAATGGGAACTGGAATGGCGTGTTCAAATCTCAGAAAAAGCTCAATAAAAAGTATTCTAAAAATACTACAATAGTACATATGACTCATGCGCTACATTCCAAGTGGTCTGAATCTTTCCCGCCAGTGAGCTGTTCACTTTCATTGACCAGACGTGAATCATTGCCTCAAATGTGAATTTAAAAGCTGCTGTGTATTGGTTAACACGTTTCTACATGACATCTACCACATAAATTTGAGTTTATGCGCTTCAGACGAACCCCTGGTGAAAAAAAACAATAGAAACCATCACAGAATTTGTAATGATTTTACTGGTTATATTGAGAATTGTACTGGTTTTAATGGAAATGGGTTCTACTGGTCACCTTCTATTGGTGATAAAAACACATACAGAAAAGCATTTTTAATGGTTAAAAGTTTGTAATGGTAATGGTTTGTAATGTTTGTAATGGTATTTTTAGTGGAAAAAAACATTAGAATTTCTGTGATGGTTTCTTTAGTTTTTGTTCCAGCAGGGACGTTGTTGTCCATAAGATCTTGTTAGCAACTCATGTTTTCAAAGTACACACTGATTTCAAAATGTACGTATGAGATATTAAATACATGTTGTAAACGAGTTTGTAAGTTTATTTTAGGCTACTCATAAATCTAAAACCTCTTTTTAAAAAAACATATTTATAATTATAATCAAAAATTAATATTATAACCGATCAGCTTTATATGCTTTATTTTTAAAACCATTTTATCATTTTGTGCTATTTTTTATTTTATTTTGTGCTATTCAATATGCATTTAATACATGATGATTTGTAACTGGACTTTAAAAAATTATTGTAAGAGGAAGGAATAGGAAGGAAGAGGGGATAATAGCTAGATTAAGACTGGGTCATTCAGGGCTGAATGGTTCATTGTTTTTAATTGGTGTACATGTTAACGGCTTATGTGAATTTTGTGGTGAGAAAGAAACAATTGAGCATGCAATATATGAATGTATAAAGTATAGTGAGGATAGGAAGGAACTAATAGCATATCTAAAGGATAAAGGTAAGAAGAATAAAGATGTGGGATATTTATTGGGATATGAATTTAATAGTGATAGAACAGGATATATGATTTTATAAAAAAATGTATATAGCACAGGACTAGATATATCTAAAGGATAAAGGTAAGAAGAATAAAGATGTGGGATATTTATCGGGATATGAATTTAATAGTGATAGAACAGGATATATGATTTTATAAAAAAATGTATATAGCACAGGACTAGATAAAAAGAACATAATATAAAATATGTTCTGTTTCGGTTTGGAGTTTAAGGGGTTCAGTGTGGAGGATGGAGGAACTGAACATGCAGCGCCAACTGATACCTGGACTCTTGATGGCTTCAGAGTTGAGACAGAACAACCAATATAATAAAAGAAAATCCTTATTGCATAATAGCTCAGTAGGTGGCGATATGCGCAATGATTGCAACTCGCCATAAAACAAAGAAGAAGAAGAAGAACTGGGGCAAGTTCAAGCTCAAACCGGTGCGCAACATTTTGCTACG